GAAGTCAGTGGGGTTGCATAGATATAACTGAGGTCACAATTTGGCCCATAATGCCCTTATTTGTACATCTGCTATTCATTTACTTTGTTTATATTTGATTTTGGAGACATTTCAAGAAGATGAGCATTAACTCATACATAATTAGATGATAAGATGCAGGTAGAAGGTACCCAAAATACAAAGTTGTAATTAATACAAAGAAACATATTTCAGGAAGAAAAATTGTTTCTCTCTCATATTAGATTGGAGTTCTAAAGAGTTGATTTTTTGCAGAAAATTAAAGGATTATTATAGTTATCCCACAATATAAAGATTACTGTTATTTACTACTCAATTGTAGAGTTAAGGGAACATCTGTTAGAGAAAGTCAACATTTTAAAATTAACCTGCGCTGGAATATAGTACACTAATAGAAAGAGCTCCAAAACAATCAATTGGAGCCATAATTACATATTGGTGGGATCAAAGAATACAGGAACATTGGTAGGGTAATTAAGAAGTCAGACCACAAACTTTGCAAGAAAAAGATGCATAATTGTCCTCTCATGGTGCAAATTCAGAGTAGCTCCCTTAAGTCAATAGAGTTATATCTGCTTTAAATTGGTATAAATGAATCAGGCCTTTGTTAAACTAATTAGTTGCAATGTCATAGTCCATAAATTCTGATTTCACTTTAATCAAATGTAAAACCTGAATAAATCTGGATAGTCATTTGTAAATAATATCAGAATTTGTCCATGTCTTAAAATTAAACTCAGATTATCTGTATGAATGCAAAAAAATGCAGGCAGTTCAACAGTGTACCCTTGCAGGTCAGACACAGTTAATTCACAGGATGTTTGTTGTGATCTTAAGAGAAAAATACAAATATTAATGCAACTTAGAACCACTAAATTTAGAATTCAAAAGCCCAGCAGGTTGGTGCACAAAACTCTTGAATTCGATACCTACAGTTGTGCAACTGTCAGCATGGTAACTGCCTAGACCATTTAACCATTATAAGCCTCAGTTGCTTCTTATCTTCACAGATTTTAACTACTAGTTTCAAAAATTAAACATAATTAAAAATAAAATTGCCTAGACTATCCAAGGAGCTCTAAGGTCGCTCAGTTAACTGCAGTTATTAGAGATTTGGTCTGTCCCTTCTGCAATCATATTAGTAAGTGAAGAACCTACTTTTTCAATCATTATTGACCTGATAAACGAATACTCATAATGAGTTTATTTGTCTGTTTCCACATCTCTGATACGTGAAATCAATACCGAAAAGAGCATCTTGTAGAATAATATAGTAAGAGGAAAAACAAATGTACCTGTTCTGAAATGTTAACTTGCAGGAAAGATTTGCACTCAGAATTTATGCCATCCCTTACATGAGAAACTGTACTCTCAGCTTGCCCCCATCCTCTCTTGTAGATAAGATTCCAAGCATTTCTCAGATAGTTGGGTATAATTTATTGTAGCCACACAAAAGTCAGATCTAAATCCTTTTGGATCCTGATGCCACAAAGCAGCTATTTAGAGTTCAAAGGGGTAGGCCTACACATGCGATTAAGTTATCACTGTTGGGGTAACTGTAACCCTTGCTGTACGTTTTGGGCTTCTGGTATCCTGAAGATTGTGATATTCACAAAAATCCCCTAATAACCATTATGTATATTTTTGTTGCATTAATCACAACAGTCACAGCGAAACACATTCAGTGAATTATTTCCTGCCACTAAAGGAAAAATCCAAAATCTTGTTTCCTGATGACAACAAGCTTCTAAAAAACCTCCAGAGCCAAATGTGGTTTCCATTTGCTGTTTGGGGATTTATTTGTCTATGCCAAAGTTCAGGTGTGCCAGCTCTTTGTAATAAGCCATTTGGATGAAAGCTTGGCTAGCTCAAAGGATCCTGATGTATTTTATTGCTGCCTTTTAAGATTATTGTTCAGAAATACCAAGTCTAATTTTGAAATCAATTAGCCATGCAGTCTGATGAGGTGTTGGCCCAGCTCAGGTTCACACCCGCTGTCCACAGATTATTGTTAAATTGAGTCAGGTCCTTAGTGCTGCTCTGCTTGCCAGCATCTGGTATACACATGTTTGATGTCTTCACAAAATGCCGCTGATGGCTTAAATTGCAAGGCTCTAATGAAGAAATCCTAGCAAGTTTGCTCCTGTTTGCCTGCAAACCTTGCCATTTACAGTATTCTGTAAAACTTTGCCATCCTTTAACTCTTCCATTTCAAGAAAATATAAATCTTCCACAGGATATTAAACAGATGTGATGAAAAAAAAATGTAATTATCTACCATCAACAAATGAGAGAAAAATACCTTCTAATTCCTGTCTTCCCAACAATCATGTTGCAAGCATGATATCATTCCCAGAAGTGTTACCTCCAGAAGGGAATGACATCTTCCAGCTTCAGCCAATCAGCATTCCAGAAGGTGAAAATTCCACTTTCCTGGTGCACTATTTTTGGGAATAGTGCCAAAACCATGTGGAAACCCATGCTGTTCAAAGGAGTGACAGGTAGTAAAACAATCCATGGGCCTCTATATGTACCGATATATGAGAATACACCAAGTCTCCCTCTCCCTTATCATTACTCTAGTTTTGAAACTGGTCATCATAAAATGTCTCATGTTAAGCCAAACAATAAATGAATAAGTAAAAAAGATATTTTTCATGAACACCTTATAGTCTAAGAAGCATCCCTAGGTTGGTTTGTTTTTTAGAAGCTCTAAGATTACAATCTCTAAAGGTGCATCTACACAGCATCCTAAACTCGAAATAAGAAAACAGCTTATTTTGAAATTTGGCACATCTATTCAGCACCGAATTTCAAAATAACCTACTATTTTGAGCCATCCCTTATCCCTCGTGCAACGAGGTTTACAGGGATATCAAAATAACACGCTCGTTATTTTGAAAAAGATTTCAAAATAATGGGAGGCTTGTGTAGATGCAAGGTATCCCAAAATAGCCATGCAGTGTAGACGTACCCTAAGACAGTTATAAATATGAATAAAAACCAACAACTCAGAATATATAGGAGTCAGGTGCCCAACTCTCATTGCCTGTGTTCCTCTGAAAATCCCAGTGTTAATTCTTCCAATTTAGGGTAACCATCCATCCCATTTTTACTGGGATTGTCCTGTATTTAAGCTGTCTCCTAAGCGTCCTGACTTTCTTTTAAAAAGGGGCAAGATGTCCCATATTTGCACACCCTCTGCTGGTCCTTGAGATTTCCGATCTGTGCAGCTGCAGCAGCCTCCTATTTGTGGCTGGCAGTAAAGCAGGCACCATCCTGTGGTGTGTGGAGTGAGGCAGGGGGCCAATGGAAAAAATGGGGAGGAGTGTCTTCCCTCCCTGTGCACCCTAAAGAAGGGGGGAAGCCTGCCAGCCTTTCAGGAATATGGGGTTGAAGCCCCAAGCCCTGGCACCCTCCTTCCAGCACTGGAACCCCTTTCTCAAGCATCCCCACTGCTGGCTGCAGCCCTGTTTCCAGGCAGCTCTCCCCACAAGTCTGAAGCCTTTTTCAAGCACAGCACTGAAGCCCCACTTCTAGGAGGCCCCCATCTGCCACGGTGCTCATCCTCCATCGCAGGCAGCCCCCACCCATTGCAGGGCTCAGCCTGGTTCCTGGGTGCTCCTCCTGGTGGTGATCAGATCTGTTCTCAGGCTCCCCCCGACCCTGTGGCAATGAGCCCTGTTCTTGGGTGTTTCTCCCCACTGCAGCAATCAGCCCTGTTCCTGGGCTGTCCTCCCCTTTGCGGAGCTGACACCCTGTTCCCAGGGTGTGTGTGTGTAGGGGTAAACTGAGGCAGTCCATGGTATCTTGCATGGTTTCTGCATGGTATCTGCATCCATTATTCCCTACAGCGGGTGGAGGGGCCCTGGCCATGGAGCTCAGCCCCATTCCACGGCAGCCCTCACTGCCTCCCCTCCAGTGTCCCATATTAGTCTTAGGGAAATATGGTCACCCTATTCTAATTGGAAATATTGTGACAGATACAGAAGAATGAATAAATCAAATATCAGCAAGGAGAAGGATGGCCCAGTGAAGGATCCTAGCTTAGGTCATGGAAGACAGGGTGAACCCCTGCTTTTTACCATAGGTTTCCTGTGTGACCCTGGGCAAATCACTAAAGTCTGTCTGCGTCTTGGAGACCAAGGCTCTGCCTCACCTCCAGATTAAAAATAAAAGTCTGATGGTTTGAATAATGGTCATTCCCTTCCCTAATTTCCTCCTCCTTCTCCTGCACTCAAACTCACATCGTTTCCTGGTGATTTATTTGTATCTTGTAGACCTAGACTTCCAAAACATCTTTCCATGCAGAGTCATCTCGTAGAAATTGCCAGCAGCCTGGTATTCTCTTTCTTACATGCCAATAGACACATTAATTCATTGATTGTATTTGTACATTCATCAGGTCACTGAAGACTACATGGCTCTAGAATAGTGGTTCCCAAACTTTTTGTCCTACATCCCACCCTTCTCAATGCAAACCTTTCTGTGGACTGCTAGCCAATCACCCATGATGATAAAGTGCCTCCCCATCTCTCTAAATATCTTCAATACTAAATAATTCATATCAGGTTACTGGGGCATGAAATCTTAAATATACAGGTGCAACATAAGGCAGCACTTATAACCAGTGGGAAAAGAAATTGTATTCATCAGAATAATTAAACAGATTAAGTGCTTTAACTTTATCATGTTTATTCAAAACAAAGTTTGGTAAAGTAAGTAAAATATTAATTTATGTTCAAAACAAAAAGTTTCCATGTTGCCTTTATTTATGGTAGAGGTGGGGAACCTTTTTGGGTTGTTACTCATCCACAGAATAATCAGTCAGGGGCCACACAAAAATAAGAGGCACAAAAAAACAAAACTGAAAAACCCCAACCCTCATTAAGGTAGCCCCCAACTTAGCTATCCCACTCCCCTGGCACTCCAGCCCCATGGAGGGGACAGATTTTGTGAGCTCCTCTAGGCTCTGGGTTGTGGCCAAAAATGAGGGGTTGAGTGTGGGAAGAGGTTGCCAGTGTGGGATGACGGTACGGGAAGGTGGTGAAGTTGAGAGATAGGATGCAGGAATCGGCTGGGAGTGGGGAGGGGGATGCAAGGCTGGAGCGCAGCATGGGCTCCTTGCTGCAAGGGGGGGCCAAAACTCAAGCCAAACACCACCTACAAGCTTGCTATGGACCACTAGTGGTCCACAGACCACAGTTTGAGAACGACTGCTCTAAAAAGATGATAAAGGAGCTTTAAGGCACAAGTCTTAAGACCTGAGGATTACAGTGGATAAGAAGATGGATATGAGTCAACAATGTGCCCTTGTTTCCAAGAAGGCTAATGGAATATTGAGCTGCATTAGTAGGAACATTGCCAGCAGATTGAGGGAAGTGATTGTTCCCTTCTATTCAGCATGGATGAGGCCACATTTGGAGTATTGAATCCAGTTTTGGGCCCTCCACTGCAGAAAGGTTGCAGACAAATTGGAGAGAAAGTCCAGCAGAGGGCAACTAAAATGTTTGTGAGGCTTGGACATATGACTTATGAGGAGAGGCTGAGGGAACTGGGCTTAGTTTGCAGAAGACAAGAATGAAGGGAGATTTGATAGCAGCCTTCAACTACCAGAAAGGGGGCTCCAATGAGGATGGAGCCAGGCTGTTCTCAGTGGTGGCAGAGGACAGAACAAGGAGCAATGGTCTCAAGTTGCAGTGTGGGAAGCCTAGAATGGATATTAGGAAAAATTATTTCACTAGGAGGCTGGTGTAGCACTGGATTAGGTTACTTTTGAGGTGGTGGAATTTCCATCCTGAGAGGTTTTTAAGGCCAGACTTGACAAAGCCTGGAATGATTTCATTGAGATTGGTCCTGCTTTGAGCAGGGGGTTAAACTAGATGACCTCCTTCCAATGCTAATCTTTTGAGGAGTGAGCTCATATGGCATTCCATACTATTCACCACTCTGCATCCATTTCTGTCATATCATCTTACTCCTTTACAGATAAAACAGGCAGACAGATTCACTCTGATGGCAAAAAGCAGAATACTAAATCTGCAGCACACGGGGACTCCCCCAGTTTCTCCCAAGAACACTGCTCACAAAAGGTAGATGTATATGTGAATGAAAAAGGTGTTCTCCTGAAGGGAAAAGGAAGGAGCAAACAGAAAGCTGCATGGAACACACTATCTAAAATCTTTATTCCTCTTCTAATTGAAGGTGAAAGGGAACAGCCACAGCTGAGAAGAATTCTTCTCTTGCCCCCAAAATTAAGACTGTCAAAAGCAAACATTCGAGATCATGAAGATCA